ATAGTCCAGAAACATGGTCATTCTTTTTCCTTTTTTTAAGGTAGTATTGCTACATCAGACAGTGTAAGATATGACAAAATAATAATAATTTATAAATTATCAAGGGTTCGTGAGGGAGGGGTGGGGAGGGAGGGGGAAAAGCTGATACTAAGGGCTCAAGTAGAAAGCAAATGTTTTGAGAATGATGAGGACAACATATGTACAAATGTGCTTGATACAATGGATGTATGATTGTGCTAAGAGTTGTACGAGCCCCCAGTAAAATGATTTTTTTTAAAGAGTATTGCATTTTGAGTAAAGGTTTACCCAGCACTTGAGATTGCCAGTCAGCAATTATTACACCAATTGTTCAGTGACATTGGTTACGTGCTTCATAGTTTATAAACATTCTCATTATTTCCATTCTGTTTGTTCCATTTCATCCATACACATTTTTTTCCTCCATATACATTTTTAATACATCCCTTCTATTATTGGCATGACTAGGTTCCAGGGACCAAGTTGTTATGTGGAAATTGGTATAATGTGAAAATGGAGGATGACCAAATCAGATCACAGAATGGAGGGTAACTATAAAATTGTGTAACTGCCAAATTACATCATCACAAAACTGTGGTTACCCCTGAGAATCAAAGCCAAGTTGACAGATAGATACCCTTGACCACACAACCAGTGTTAACTCTCACTAACACCTTGGGTTTGTTACTGCCAGACGCAGGTTTTTATTGTGCAAAACAGCTGAGTAGTAGATGCTTCTACTATTATTGTAAATATGAAATGTTGATGAGTAGTAGGTATAATTCTAACAAGTTTCCAGTAGTCACAGTTTAATTTATAATGAAAAGTAAATCAAAGTCATAGATTAAATAATATGATGTTAACGATGCAGCTTATGATTGGGAAAGGAAGCTAAATTTAAGGGATTGGCTACGTTGCTAGGCCAAAATCAAGCTTTCTTACTATAGGAACTCAAGTTGAGGTACATATGGTAATTGGCTAATTTGGAGAAAAAGTGCCCTAATCACTTTCAAATGTAACATTCATGAAGATGTGTATATGTTTTACATGATCTATTTCTCTTTGTTTCTCAGGTTTTTGTGGAGACCCTGGATAAGTGTTTTGAAAATGTTTGTGAATTGGATTTGATCTTCCATATGGATAAGGTACATTCTCTCTCAAACTAGATTTACTAGAAAACCTAGAGGCTAGGACTTCTTAAGCCACCTCTACACCTTCATGTTCTTTCTTTTAGTTTCTTACCCTGAAAATAGTCCAAGAACCTATTTTATTTCATAACTTAGGTTTTAATGGGGGGTTTTTGGCAGGGAGGGTAAGCTCTGTTATCAATTTTAACTTGTACAAGATTATTAGACCTACTGTATATATGTGAGTATAAGCTGACCCGAATATCAGTCGAGGCACCTAATTTTACCATTAAAGCGGCATTAAAAATGGCAATTTTACCATTAAAACGGCAATGAAAAACTCTGCACATACACCAGTATATACAGTAATAGCAAGGTTTACCTACCCGAAGACACACTACTTAGTGTTGGGCAGTCATGTGGTAACTGGCTGCCCAGCTACAAATCAGACAAATCATTTCATGGTGGTTATAAAATGAGGTTCCTAGGTTCATTATCACTGAAGCTTTAGTAGCTTTTTAAAAAGTTACTGAAATAGTTTTTCCCCTCTCTAGATAGTTATATAGTGATTACAACATCAGTCATACCATCATCTTTTAATTCCATTTTCCACAAACTTTTTGAGGCTTACTTTTAGAATGTGGGGTCAGGTGATACTCTGTAGGGAAACAGACCATCAGAGGTAGAAAGGAAATGGCCCAATCTCTTTTCTCAAATTTGTTTGGGTAGCACAGCTAGGACATGGCCTTTGTCCCCACATGCTAAATTAACCATCAAGGGCCTGTGGACTGCCAAACTTATTTTACCCAACTGCTCACGTGCTTTCCCCAGTGCTGTTCCTTGATCGGGACCTGTACATGTTAGGTCTGCTTGGTCCTGTTCTTCTCTTCACTGGTTGCTATCACTGTGATCCATGTACCCTTGATGGGAGATCATGGTTAAGGTGTTGTATTGACACCGTGGCTGCTAGAATGGCCTCAAACATAACAATTCTGACACCAGCTGCCCCTCCAATGCCAGTCTTTCCTCCTCTGCTGGGTTGACAATTCATTGCAGTGGCCGTGAAGAGAAGTAGGCAGTGCTCATGATTTTGACATCTATTGGGGAAGCGAGTAACAGGAACTGGAACAGATCAGGGTACAGTTCTTCAGTTAGAATAGCCTTTTCTTACTTGTGCCTGCAAGCCTACCTCTCTCTGGCCTCTTGGCAATCCAGCTCACCTACCCAGGTCCTGCCCTGTTCTGGCAAGTGTTAGAAAGCTCTTTCATTTTGAGAATGATGATGGCAAATGTACAAATGTGCTTGACACAATGGATGTATATATAGATTGTGTTAAGAATTGCACGAGCCCCCAAGAAAATGATTACATTTTTCAAAAGTTAAATAACAATAATAATAATTTTAAAAGACCTCTTTCAGCTCTGCCATAACCTTGGCATAAACCTTGGTCCAAAGGTACTGAGTTCTCTCTCCATGGTTCAGCAAACCCACCATGCTATATCCTGCTCCTGACTCTTCTTTCTTGGTGGTTGTCTGATCCTGTCTCTCTGCTTACAGCTTCATGCAGTTGAGAACTTCTTAGACCCAGGAGATGAAGACAGAGAGAGGGAGAAGCAGCAGCACAGAAATGGCCATGCCAGAGGCAGCAGACAGTAGAGTGGGCTTCCTAGCTCACAGTGAGAGAGCTGTGTGTCTTTGGGCAACGAGCTTACTAGCAGAGTGGGGTGCCTCCAGGCACTTGACTAAACTAGATTTGCCAACCCACAGAGCCAGAGAGCTGAGCACCTTAGGGCCAAGGCTGTCTGGTGGTGTGAGGTACCCCAAGGCACTTGGCAGAGGCAGGCTTGCTGACTCACAGAATAAGAGTGCTGAACCCCTTTGTCTGAGGCTTACTGATGGAATGGGCTGCATCTGGGTACCTACTGACCGAATTAAAGAGCTGTTTAGTCCTGAGGAGGGCAGAGGTCCAAGGGGCTGGGGATCTGAGGAGTCAAAGGCCAGAGAGAGGCCTGCCTATGGGCATGGCTGACAAGAAGCAGCCCTGAGTGAAGAACTCTATCCTAAATTGTAACCTATTATTTCCCTAATAAACTCTGTAGTTCTGCATATTGACTGTGGGACTATTGAAATGAGTAGTGGAACCTGGCATAGATATAAACAGTACTGCAAGAGGCCAACTGGTGTCAGAATTTGTAACAAGGTTGGAGAGAAAAGGATTATGTCTGATCTTTGTATCAGGGAATCAGTCATGGGCTGATGCTGATAGTGATTCTGTCTCCCCCTGGCAAAGTTTAGAGGTCAGATGCCTCTGACACCCCATTTTATATCTCGATAATAAGGAATTCTTATACATGAGTGTGCTGTATCTCCCCACTTCTTGAAGTCTCCTCTGATGTCTCTCAGTGAGCCATAGGTGTTTTACATGTTTTCCCCATGGATGTTTTACATATGAGAGCAAGTCCAAAAGTATTGCTATGCACACATGAGTTTATTCCAAACAAAACAAGCGTGCCTAAACATGTCTTTGAGCTTAGTGGTTGGCTGCAGACACATTCTTTCTGTCTTTCCTAGTCTCTGTAGGATACCTTCAGAAAGATTCAGTCTCAACAGTGACTTCCATGTGACTCTATGGGCTCATTTAAATTCTGGTTAGAGAACTGAGCTCAGAAGGTTGTGGTGACATTTTGGGGGGTTCCAAAGGAATAATCCGGATTGATTTTTTTTTTTTCTTTTTTAAGAACAGCACAGGCCAGCCGTAGGGGCCTATTAGGAAGAAGGTTGCAGAAAATTAAAACTACATTGGTGAGAAACAGTCCAGGAAAGTTGTGCCAAAGAGTTTTTTCCATTGCACCAATGCTCCTGATCATTCTTTGAGGGTAGCAAGGGTCCACCTATGAGAATTTCATGGGGAAATCATGCTCATGCCCCTTCTGACTTCGTTTTGGTTCCAGAACTCAAAGAACCTTTCAAAGGAATGTGATTTGAGACTCTCGAGGATGCTCAAACTACCATGTCCTGGTGTAAACTAAAGAGCACAGGCCTCTTCGGGAAAGGCTGAGAGATGGAAACACTGCATTCAGAAGTGTAGAGAACTGGTGGGGGTGCATTGATCAGCGAGCAAACTTTTAGTTTATGAAATGCGATATCTGACATACATATGGCTTCACATTGATATTTTTGTGAAATTAAGGTTCCTGTGATTTTTTTAAATCATTTTATTAGGGGCTCACACAACTCTTATCACAATCCATACACACATCAATTGTGTAAAGCGCATTTGTACATTCATTGCCCTCATCATTCTCAAAACATTTCCTCTCCACTTAAACCTCCAGCATTAGGTCATCATTTTTCCACTCCCTCCCTGCTACCCCCTCCCTCATGAGCCCTTGATAGTTTATAAATTGTTATTTTGTCATATCTTGCCCTGTCCAACATCTCCCTTCACCCACTTTTCGGTTGTCTGTCCCCCAGGGAGGAGGTCACATATAGTTCCTTGTAATCGGTTCCCTCTTTCCTACCCACTCTCCCTCTACCTTCCCTGTTTCGCCACTCACACCACTGGTGCTATAGGGCTCATCCGCCCTGGATTCCCTGTATTTCCAGTTCCTATCTGTACCAGTGTACCTCCTCTGGTCTAGCCAGACTTACAAGGTAGTATTCGAGTCATAGTAGTGGGAGCAGGGAGGAAACATTTAGGAACTAGAGGAAAGTTGTATTTTTCATCATTGTTACATCGCACCCTGACTGGCTCATCTCCTCCCCAAGACCCCTCTGCAAGGGGATCTCCAGTGGCCTACTAATGGGCTTTGGATCTCCACTCCACACTCCCCCCATCATTCACTATGGTTAGATTTTTTGTTCTGATGATGCCTTATACCTGATCCCTTCGACACCTCGTGGTTGCATAGGCTGGTGTGCTTCTTCCATGTGGGCTTTGTTGCTTCTGAGCTTGATGGCCGCTTGATTTCCTTCAAGCCTTTAAGACCCCAGAAGGGTTCCTATGATTTTGTAGCCATACTTTTGGATTCATCCTTGTATATATCATTAAGGTATGTTTTTATATGTTAATGGATATGATGATTGAAATAATCTATTGTTCTTTACCACTACATAGAAGCCACTTTACTTTTGTGTGTTGCTATTGAATCCAAAAATTATGTTAAACCCCTAATTTTAATATCCTATTTCTTTTGCTTATTCCTTCTAACACTTATTCCGCAAAGGTCTTTTTCATTCCCTACACTGGTAACGAGGACTTCCAAGTGCGATGTGGAGTAGAATTGGTAATTGTGCTGTCTTGTCTTATTCCTGACTTCAAAGGGAACTGTTCGCCCTATGCCCTATCGTTAACGAGGTTTATTGTTTGCTATAGACTTCCCTCCCCCCTGGTAAATATTCTCTATCAGATTAGCGAGTGTCTCTCTTCTTAGTTGCTAAGAATTTTTAATCTTGAAAAGATGTTAACATTTATCAAAAGCTTTTTTTCCATCTCCTAAAAGATGCATGTGGGTTGTTTTTTTTTAACCATATGATTTCACCATTTTTTAAAATATTTGTCACCATACCTGCTGACGCAGTGAAGTAAGTATAGTTCTGTGTAATCTGGGTATGGCAATTAGAGGCCATAAAAGTGTTCTTTCACTTGTCTAATAACCACATAACTTCTATAAAGTATTTTACTGCTGCAAACTTTTAGTTTATAAAACATGATATGTGATATCAGGAATGACTGCCCATATATCCTGAGGTTACTGCAAAGTGATGCTAAAAAGTATCCCAAGAAGTGGCCGTCTATAGGTGGCTTAATTTGAGTGGGATTTCAAGCTGATCTATGCCCTCTGAAAGATCAGTGTTTAATTCTGCATATCTACTGTTGGAAGCAGAAAGTGGCCTTTTATCGAGATAACAAGGAACCTGCCATAAAGTCATGGAGATATCACTGTGAATGCCGCCCTTCTAAGTTGAAAAGCCTCCCCGCCTGGAGGTCAGAAACTCCCATCCATTTCAGTCGCAGA